AAAAAAATCAATATTCTACGAGATATATTATATTATACTTTATTTTAGCATATTTGAACATGAAATATAAAATATCTCGTAAACTATTTATTTTTTTGGTAACTGTATCTTAATACTTTTATGATGTTGTTAATACTTTCATGTACAGAATAATAAAATAAATCAATTGGTGTAAAGAAAACACAGAGTTGATCTTTAAGAAAATTATGCAATATGCAACTATTTTTTTGAAGAGCAACTGTTTTTTTACATCAATTGGTTCATCTCATTATTCTGTGCATAAAAATATTAAGGTACAATTTCCAAAAAATTAATAGTTTACGAGATATTATTTATATTTCATGTTAAAATATGCCAGAATGAAGTCTCGTAAATCATATAATTCCATTTTAAAAAATGGTGATCTCCGTGTTTCCTTGAAAATCGATTTTTTTGAACATTTATTTGACTATTATTTATCCCCCTCCAAACCATGCAACTTTTGTCTGAAACATTTTTCTCCGAGTTTTTCTCTAAAATGCATTATTCAAAAGATATTTGAGGTCCTCATTTAAAATCGGACCTTGTATAATTTAATGTCTCAATATTATAACTTATAAGCGTGTTTTTTGTTCATTTTGAAGATGATGGAACGAATCTTCAAGAGATCGTTAAATCGAAAAGTAAGTAAGCTTGCCGCAAAGCGTCTTAGATTAGACAGAATCAATGCTATTGTGAAACAACAGCGTTTTAATTCTGTCAGTGACAGTATTGATGATACGGAGGAAAGTAAATTTTGTAATGAGTCATCTGAAGGTGATAGCTATAACCGCATTGATTTTCATGAAGAAAGTCGGAATGAACAGAATGCTGTTGAACACATTGACTGTAGATTGGATCCATCAGCAAGTGAAATTGATAGTGTGGATCTTACTGCTTCTGAAATTGTAAGCGATGATAGCAGTATCGTTTCGTCACAAACAGAGGCCCAGGAAGATGTTGATTTCATTACTTCTCCAAGTAATGAAGATGATACATCAGACGAAGAGCAAGTGCATTTTGCTGATGAAAATGAGAAGGCTCAGTATGTCAGAACTGTCATAGAAGAGTGGGCTCGTGAGCCAGGAAGACTTTCAAAGAGGAAGCTAGATCTACTCTCTAAACTTCATCCTGTATTTCCAAACTTACCTCTTAGTTATAAAACCCTGTTACAAACTCCTGGGATAGATTTAATATCAGTTGATGGTGGAAAATTATGGTATAAAGGTATTACATTCAATTTAGATTCTATGAATTTGCAGGAATATTTAGCACGTTTTGATGAAATTATCATTGATATTAATATAGATGGGCTTCCTCTCCACAAAAGCTCTCCGATCAGATTTTGCCCTATATTAGGTAGGATCGTGAAAACCAAAAACAAGCCTTTTATTATCGCAATTTTTAAAGGAAGAGTCGATCCTAGTACAAAGGATTTTCTTAAGCCTTTCGTGAAAGAGGTTGGTCACTTGCTTAAAAATGGTTACACAAACAATGATATAGCTTATAAATTTTCGATTAGGCATTATATTTTGGATGCCCCAGCTCGTGCAAAAATAAAATGTTGTATTGAACATGGAGGTTACTGCGCTTGTGAGAAGTGCGAGGTTGTAGGAGAATGGATTGACCATCGCATGACGTATGTAGAACTTGATAAAACTCTGAGAACTGACGACTCATTTCGTGACCAGGAGCAACCATATCACCATCTGGATCGTTCTCCATTGCTTGACATAGAAGCTCTTCTAGTGTCTCAGTTCCGCTTAGATGCATTACATCTGATCGATTTAGGTGTGTTCAAGAGATTCCTCTTAGCTCTTCGAAAATGGAATGGAACTTGGAAGCTGCACCGTGACACTGTTACAGCTATTTCCCATGAAGTAGAAATACTAAAGGACTCATGTCCATCGGACTTCAATAGACTTCCTAAATCTTTCGAAGATTTTACCTACATGAAAGGTACGGAGTACAGACGACTCTTGCAGTATGATGGTGTTTTAGTTTTTCGTGATTATTTAGATGAAAATGTTTATAAACTTTTTTACTACTTCACTCAGCTATTTACATCTTAAGAAGTCCTGTGTTTGTGAGAAATCTTTGTGACTATGCAGACCAATTATTAAGGACCTTTATTAAGCATTCTGCAGATGTATTTGGAAAAAAATTTGTTGTGTATAACGTTCACAGCATGTGTCACCTGTCTAAAGAATGTGAAGAATATGGCGCACTTGATACTTTTAGCGCTTATCCTTTTGAGAACAAGTTATTTTCAATTAAAGCATCTCTGCAATCTGGATATAAACCGCTCAAACAAGCTGCATATCGTGATTTAGAGAAATCACGACATGTTGATATTGTCTTTGAAGATCATGAGAATGAAGTGCATTTGGCTCTGAGAAGATTTGTAGTTGATGAGATAATAGATGGAGATAATAGATGCAATTCGGAAGAATCAAAGTGAACGATACAATTTTTAAGTGCAACATGAAAGATTCCTGTTTTAAAACGGTTAACGATGATATTGCTGTCCTTCATAATATTGTACAGAGACATGGTGAAGTTTTTTTTGTTGGATACTCTTTTACACACATGGAAGACGTCTATCAATATCTTTTGCCCTCATCAAAGCTAGTCATACGAGTAATAGATGTCAGTGAGGAAAGGAGTATTTTTCCTCTTACTAAAGTTGTTGCTAAATGCTGGCTTATTCCTGATGGAGAATTTTTTTTATGCTTCCCGTTGCTGCACACTATGCCTCTTCTCAACTAGTTTTTCTTTCTCTCCTGATGCTATATATTTGGTAAGCAGTAATGTGGTCTATTGATATTTCTGTTCTTTCAGTTCGATGGTACAATTTGTAGTAGATCGGAGGGTTATCGCGATTGTGGAGAGATAACACGAGTTCTACCAACTTATATAACCTCTTTATTTTTCAGCCGTACACATTAGCGAGACACACCGTACTGAATTCTCCATGTGCCCCGCGCCCCCTCTCGGGTTTAGTAGTCCCCCTAGTGTTGAAAGTCGGGAGTATCAATGTCTGTTGTGTATCAGTCCTTCCTGCCAAGATTGGGAGTGATCTGTGAAAGAAAGAACGGGCAAACTGGGAGGGGGGAGTATTATGTCCGCTCCCTGCTCGGGTTAAAGCCGGCGGCTCGTGAGCGCCGTGATAAGGTCGATGACGAAATCTCTGTACCGCTCGGGCAGTCGTCCCGCTGTTGAGCGCTGTGGTCGCGTCCGAACCGGTTCCGGAGCTTCGCCTTCCAGGTCTACATCAGTTGATTCTTCGAGTGCTGACTCAAACTCTTCCGAATCTGATTCGAGGTTCGCGTTGTCGCTGTCGCCTGCTTCGTCCGGTTCGGTTGCTCGAGTGTGCAGAATCGTCTGTGTGGACTGTGGAGAACAAGAAGATTCGTAAGTGTCGTCTTCATGCTCTTCTTCGGTTGGATATCGTCGTTTAAGCTGATTCGTATGAGCCTTCAGCATTCTGTTGTCGACCGTGATTAGGTAGTTTGTCCGTCCGAGCTGTTTGACAATTGAGCCTGTCTGCCATGTCCAACCGTTTCTCGAATGCATCTGGTAGAAGATTGGGTCTCCGGCCCTGTATGTATGGAGGCGTGCTCCGTGATGCTGGTTGAATTGTCTTGACATGCTATGAGGCAGACTGACTGTTGAGCGTTGCGCTGGCTGGAGAAGGTCGAGTCGGGATGGCATCTTGCGGCCAGTCATGAGCTCAAAGGGTGAACTTCTTCCGCGGGCTGCACACGGCGTTTGACGATAGCTGGACAGGAGAATGCGTAGTTTTTCATCAATGCTTCCTTCGAGTTTTAGCAGTCCTCGTTTGAGAGTGTCGACAAATTTCTCTGCTCTTCCATTCGACTGGGGGTGGTAAGGCGCAGAGGTGACATGCTTGATGCCGTTGATGGCACAGAAGTCTTTGAATGTGCTGGAGATGAACTGGGGACCGTTGTCGGAGACGATTGTTTCGGGGGTTCCCCATCTGGCGAAGATCTCTGTCAATGCTTCTGTTGTCTTCTCCGCCGTAGTTGATCGCATGCGGGCGATCTCGGGCCAGTTGCTATGAGCGTCGACCACTACCAGAAAGGAGTCGTGGTCGATGGGACCGGCGAAATCTATGTGTATGCGTTTCCATGGTTTGTTAGGGACCGGCCATGGGTGGAGAATTTCTTTTACTGGGGACTTAGCGTTTGTGGCACATTTGGAGCAACGTTGGACGAACGATGAGATGTGTCGAGACATGTTCGGCCAGCAGCATTTTTCGTTGGCGAGGCCTTGCATGCGAGATGAGCCCGGATGTCCGGTGTGGAGTTCACCAAGGATTTTCGTGCGAAGAATCGGTGGGATGATTGGTCGGTCGCCCGAGAAGAGGCAATCCTGGATGATTCGCAGATCTTGTCGGTGAATGAAGTATTCTGCTGCTTCTGAGTCAGGAATTTGACGCCGCCGTGTAGGCCAGTGAGTTCTGACGTAGCTCATGACGAGTTGAAGGTGTGAGCAATCGGATGTGGCGCGTTGGAGGTCCTCGAGTTTGACCGGAAGTGAGTTCACAGCGTCGACCATAAACTCCGTTTCCTCTTTCTCGTAGTCGCTTTGTCGGATCTCTGCTATGACGATGTCTTCGGCTCCCGGTTTGGCATGAGTGCTGATCAGGCGTGAGACGAAGTCGGCGTATGCGAAGCTGGCGTTGTCGATGTACCTGATAGTAAAGTCGTATCCAAGCAGAGTGTTCGCGTAACGTCTCAGTCGGTTTGCCGTGTGGACCGTAATGCCGTTCTTGTCACCGAAGATCTTGAGAAGCGGTTTGTGGTCCGTTTGCAATTCGAAGTGTCGTCCGTAGATGTAGCGGTGAAATTTCTTGACTGCGTAGACCAGGGCCAAGGCCTCGCGTTCAACCTGAGCGTAGTTACGTTCGGCGTTGTTGAAAGAGGTGGCCGCGTATTGGATCGGTCTCAGGGTGCCGTCCTCGAGACGTTGTAGTAAAGCTGCACCGACACCATAGCTGGAGGCGTCGGCGGCGACGACCAGTGGTTTCCCCGGGTCGTAGTGAGAAAGAGCAAGGTTTGAATGGAGAGCCTGTTTGAGCTGCGTGAACGCTCTGCTTCGTCGCTCCGTCCATTCGAATTTCTCGTCTTTGCGTAGCAGTTCGTCGAGCGGTCCTCTCAAGTCTTTCAAGTTCGGAATGAAGCTGCCATACCAGTTGATTGCGCCCAAGAATGCTCGTAGCTGTGAGATATCCGCCGGTTGGGGGAGGTCTCGGATGATCTGGAGTTTCTCAGGGTCTGGGCGTTGGCCTTCTGCGTCGATGATCTTGCCGAGGAACTTGATCGAGGGTTGGCCGAACTTGCATTTTCCAAGTTTAAGTCGGAGACCGGCGTCCTCCAGTCGCTTGAGAATGTCGAAGAGTCTCTTTTTATGATCGGTTTCCCCCTTGCCTGGAACAATGATATCGTCTAAGTACGGCGATGCTCCCGAGCCTGCTAAGATGCTGTCCATGAGTTGTTGGAACTGACCGGGTGCCGTTTTGACGCCGAATTGAAGTCGGTTGACACGATAGAGTCCTCGATGGGTGTTGACTGCCATAAGGTCTTTTGCTTCGTCGTCGAGCTCGATTTGAAGGAACGCTTCTGAGAGATCGAGTGTCGAGAATGTGTCGTTACCGGAGAGTGTCGCAAAGATTGATTCGGGAGTCGGTAGCGGGTAGTTGAATGATTCCAGCGCGCGGTTGAGACCGGTTGAATAGTCGGCGGTGACTCGGATGCTACCGTCCTTTTTCTTGACGACGACGACTGGGGCTGCTGTGTGTGCGTAGTTGATTGGTGTGAAGACACCCTTGTCGACCAATTTGTCGTAGGCCTCGTCGAGCGTGCTGCGGACTCCGAAGGCAACTGGTCGGGCGCGGCAGAATGGTACTCGAGCTCCCTCCTTTAGTTTGAGGGATGCTTTCTGAAGGGTACATCTACCCAGCGAAGACGAGAAAAGTTTAGGAAACTTGTTTCTTACCTCCTCTGCCAGTGGGTTCGTCTCGATGCTGTCGCAATAAGTCGTGATGGGTTGGTCCCAAAGTTCGAGGGCTTCAAGTGCATTGTTGCCGAAGAGGCTTAGGTTGCGTTTTGTGACGTGGACTGGAACAATTCCGATGCGTCCTTTGAGTTTGATAACTGCAGAAAATGAGCCCAGTGACTCGATGGCGCCTCCTGAGGCGCTGATAGCCGTTTCCTTGGATGGGAGGAGCTTGGGACTGCCGCATCGTTTCCAGTCCTTCTCGGTGATGATCGTCCAATCTGAGCCCGTGTCGTGTTTGAGAACCACGCCAATGCCGTTGATCTTCGGTTTGAGAGTCTTACGAGATGGTTTGTGCTGGGCCGACGTGCTGTGCACTACTGTTGTCGGTTCCTTACCCTTTTTCTTGTTTCGTTCGTTGAAGTCTTTGGCTGATTTGCAGAAGCCCGTTTTATGTCCAGTTGCTGAGCACGACCCGCAGGTCTTCGAGATGAATGGACAGTCGCGATGCCAGTGAGTGTCACCGCACATGCGACACTTCGGGATAGATCCCCTTGGCTTGCTTGCAACAGCTGCGATTTCTTCTTGCTTGGTGCTCGGTTGGTTCTCGATGACCTTGCTTTCTTCATCTCGGACATCATGCGTTGAGCAATAGCAAGCATGTCGTTGATCTTGAGCTTGTTCGTCGTAGGTGCATCGCCTTCCTCCGTTCGCTTCGTGAGTCGATCGTCCACCGATTCCATGAGCTTCTTGCGGATGCGTGAATCGGTCGGTGCCGCGAGGCCTTGTGTGAAGAGTTGCACCTTTAGGTCGTCGCTGTCGAGTGAAGAGAGCTCAAATTCCTCTGCTGCCTGATTGACACGTGCTGTGTACGTAGCGAAGGATTCCTCAGATTTCTTCTGAATCTGCAAGACTTTGAAGCGTCGTGCGAAGATCGTTTCTCTGCGACCGAAAAGTTGCTTAAGGTGCTTAACGGTGTCGATGAGTGTGAGTTCTTCCGGCTTCTTAGGCAGAATATTTCCAGCGAAAGTCTGGTAATCCGACGAGGTTAGTTTTGAGCGAATGATGGCGCACTTTTCAGATTCCGGAACTTGCTTGCCGCGGTCTGATGCAAAAACTGTGGCAGTGCGTTCGTACCACTTGTCGAAAATGAGTCCAACAACTGGATCGTATGTGAAAGCGGTGATTTGACGTTCGATGTACTCTTCGGGAGGTTGGATCGTGACAGACTGAACGATGGCCTCATTGCCGTTGTTGCCTTCCAAGGTTAGGTTAGGTTGACCCTCGATTGACTCTTGACCAGCTCGATAATAGCAGCCTCTCGTCGTAGAGCCTCCTCCCGCAATTGCTCAATTTGTTTCGTATGTGCTTCCTCTCGTCGTTGAGCATCTTCGCGCATGAATTTCATCATTTCCGAGAACTGCGTATTGTCCATTTTGTTGGATTTTGATTTCCGCGTTTTTAGAGTTAGAAAATGTGTATTGTGTGCGTTCTTTGCGTTATCCTCGTCGCCAGTGTAGTAGATCGGAGGGTTATCGCGATTGTGGAGAGATAACACGAGTTCTACCAACTTATATAACCTCTTTATTTTTCAGCCGTACACATTAGCGAGACACACCGTACTGAATTCTCCATGTGCCCCGCGCCCCCTCTCGGGTTTAGTGGTCCCCCTAGTGTCGAAAGTCGGGAGTATCAATGTCTGTTGTGTATCACAATTATCATCAAAGTGATTTATTATATATTCTAATTTGTTTTCTTGCCTTTTTCCTTCTGTATTTGCATATGTGATAAAGCTAATTGAGCTGCTGTATAGCAAAATTGTATTTTAGAGCTTGAACAACTGTGATGTAGAGTATAAGTTCTTTTATGTTACGTAAAATTTGGATGGTATGACAGATGTCCTGTTCGTGTGTCCTGTTTTAATTTTTAATTAAAATTATTAATGAAAACAGTTTAGTATAATATTTATATGATAATTATTACAGTATTTTTTATGTTTCTATTGTTGATCTCTGACGTGACAACAATTAATGTTTCCATACACTTTTAGTTTTTTCCCATTTCACGAGACACGGTAGTGTCTGGCGCCAAGTATAAGAAGCGTAGCTAGAACCGCGTGCGCGAGACCGACCGTGTAGTTTATATACGCGAGTGCGCGAGTACGCGAGTTGACAGGCCCTCAGATTTTTGGATCTCATATTGTAAACATAACCCTTGTGCTAGATCTCGGTCGAGATCTCAGTCCGAGAATCGTGTAGTTAATATTTGCAAGTTGATTGGCTACACTATTTCTCGGACTGTATAGTTTTACGATAGTTATATGGTGACTCGTTGAGCAGTACGCGCCGACATAATACTCGAGCTTACTCAGCCTCGATCGTTTTGTCCATAATCCTTACCCTATGTATATTTATGTACTTCCCCGATGTGTCTCCTAAAAAGCACCAAGTATAGGTAAGCTCCAATGTTAGTCTATCTTTTCTGCAAAAGTATCTTCTCTACAAAACTATCTTTTCTACAAAAGTATTGTAATTTTCTTAAAAATCAAACTAAAGATCTCTTATCGGAAAAAGTCATGTAGAGAATATATCTTTTATTAAAAAAAAAATTTTTTATCTTCT